TTCATTACAAATTTGAAAAAAAGCTCATTAAAGTTTCCATCATCAATTGTCTTACGTCATGATAATTATGAAAGTCTCTCTGGATTAATACATTGTCATGTACTGAAAAGATTTTACTCTCTTTATTAGAATATTATACAATTTTATGAACGAAAATTGCTTTCAACTCTATGTAGTAAGCGATTGAATTTTTATTTCAATTCAATATTCTTGATTAAAATATCAAACTTCAGAAAGAATGTATTTTGATGATGGATTTGCGAATATATAAACTTGAATATACTTGAAACAAGTGACATTTACTTGAACGCATAATGTACTTTTCTCTGTATGATTGGAATAAATCTTGATCCCATAGCAATGTTATTGAAACTAATACTCGAATTATTGAAACAAATGCATCATACATTGTTTCAATCAAGAAGATTTATTCCAACCACGGCGCACTGTCAGCCAATTCTATCGACTCAACAGCACTCTTTCCATACGTGTGCGCACATCTTTTTTGCATCATCACGTCACAATGTGGGCAAGATTGTAAAACGACCGAGTGGATTCTCGCACGTCGCATTAAACGTTGTCGCCGGCGATTTTATTCGGCGCCGGCGACGCCGACCGTCGCTTACGTTGCAACTTCGTTCGCCACGAACGAAAAGAAGCGTCATCATTCCCGTCGCGTAGGCCACTATTGAAATTTCCGATCGAGCCACTTGCACTTGCGGATCCGCGTCCTCTCTTCCTCGTAGCGGAATGAGTTGTAGGCTTAGACGCGGGATGACGGTAGGAAATTATGCGGATGTCCAGCTGGGATAATGGCGCCCGCGACAAACCCGCGTCGTTTCTCTCTCGCCCGATTTGCTCGGGATTCCGCCGGGTGCGCGCGCTGATGGACGCGATCAACGTCGGAAGAATGTACGCATCGACAAAACGTCGGCGTTCCGCGACGGAAAGAGCGCCGAAAGAGACGAGCTCGATCTAGAGCTCGGGATCGACCGAGAGATTCGTCGACGATTGTCCAGCCGGACGACGCGAAACAATCAGATCGAGAGATAGCGAGCAGCCCTCGGGACACGATCGACTAATTTTTCAAAGACACGTTTCACACAGACCGCTATTGATATACACGTCGTGCCGTTGACAGATGACGCGCCATTATCGATTCTAGTGTCCATCTCGTCTCCTATTAAGGCAGCACGAGGTATCATCGCCGTCGCCGTCGTCGCTATCAACTGTCAACCCATGTTCCCTCAAATGCCAACGACTTTTGGTCGTCTTTAACGAGTGCCACCTGACGCCGCAACTGCCCCTAAGGAGGCAGTTGTCTTCGGACGAGCGCACGGAGTGGGCGCAGTAGGTAAAGGCGCAAGGGTGGACAGAACGATGGAGCAGATGCCGCTTGTTCACGATTAGAAACGAATTTCTCTCTCTCTCCCTCTTTCTCGAATAATGGCCCAGCGGGGTGGGAGAAGAGGGGACGGTTTGCATCGGGCGCAGCGACGATCTTATCCGCACGATGCGAGGATATATTCCGCACCGTGGACGCGAAAGAAGCGCTGTAGTCTCGAGCTTCTGTCCTTTACACGCGGTTATTTATGCAGCCCCGATGCAATTATGGGCCGTCATAATGAGTAAAACTGTCGGCACGTCGTACGATGCAACGGTCGAGGAAGGGCGCCCCGTACGCCCGAAGATCGATCGTCAGAGAAGGACGTCGCCGAAATATCCGCGACGCGCATATCGCTTCCCTCGCGTGTCGCTTTATCGATGAATCTTGACGTGTCAATTTATGTGCGGCCGATTAATCGACGGATCATGCAAAGGGTAGCGTTGCACGAGCCCTTTGTATCTTATCGGCCGGCGGTGATCTAGTTTCGACGAAAGGGATACCTTCTTACGGCGCAAACAACCGACGACGAGCAGCACGACGGGAGGATTCGCAGAGCGCTCGCAGAGCTGTACGGGAATGTACGTGCGCGTCTTAAAATTAATAGGGCCAATTTTGTTTGAATAACGACCTCGATGTCGACGCTAATGATATCCATGCTTTATGGCAGCGACGAATAATTGCGGCGCGATGATCTCTAATTCACCCGCGATTATGTCGAGAGCGCCTTTACGCGGCGCGCACGTACGTGCATTTCGTTGCGGGAGTGCGCGAGTGGAATACTAGAAAGAAGAGCAGGCGAACGCGAGACTCGCCGCCGACGGCGGATATCAGGAAGAGCGCGACCTATCATTTGCCTCGCTTCCTGACATTCGCAAATAGGAGCGTACGCATCCGAAAGACTCGCGAATACGACTTATTTAAGAGAAAGAAGAGAGAAAGAAAGAGAAACAGCCGAACTGAAACTCGGATAGGCAGGTGTACGTATAGTAAATTTGACGGAGACTTTATTAGTCGATTTACAAAGGTGCCTAGGTGGACTTTCGTGATTATCGTGACGTGAGACAGTCGATGGTGGAAATTTTATATGTAGTCATGTAAATGTTTCGTTACACTGACGCAGTATTTATTAAAAGTTACGCTTAGATTTTCGTGTTACATTTTATATGATATATATTTTTTGGGCTAAATATCTCTCTTTCAAGAGAGAGAGAGAGAGAGAGAGAGAGAGAGAGAGAGAGAGCAACGAATTTATTAAAAGTTACGCTTAGATTTTCGTATTACATTTTATATGATTTATTCTTTTGAGTTAAATCTCTCTCTCTCTCTCTCTCTCTCTCTCTCTCTCTCTCTCTCTCTCTCTCTCTCTCTCTCTCTCTCTCTCTCTCTCTCTCTCTCTCTCTCTCTCTCTCTCTCTCTCTCTCTCTCTCTCTCTCTCTCTCTCTCTCTCTCTCTCTCTCTCTCTCTCTCTCTCTCTCTCTCTCTCTCTCTCTCTCTCTCTCTCTCTCTCTCTCTCTCTCTCTCTCTCTCTCTCTCTCTCTCTCTCTCTCTCTCTCTCTCTCTATATATATATATATATATATATATATATATATAGAGAGAGAGAGAGAGAGAGAGAGAGAGAGAGAGAGAGATTTAACTCAAAAGAATAAATCATATAAAATGTAATACGAAAATCTAAGCGTAACTTTTAATAAATTCGTTGCTCTCTCTCTCTCTCTCTCTCTCTCTCTCTCTCTCTATATATATATATATATATATATATATATATATATATATATATATATATATATATATCATTGATCATTTTCTCCTTATTTCTTTCATATTTCTATTTGGTCATTCCGTATGATAAATATGAGTGCTATATGAGTTTTATTCATAAGAAAAAAAAATTTAGAAATCGACTACTACAAATACTATCAAATTTATGTACACCGACCGAGGTTGCATACAAGTGATTCATACGGCAATCACATTTTTATCACACAGAATAACGTAATAAAAATATGAAAGAAATACTTAAAAAATAATCAAAATTTTCTTAAAACAGTGTGTTATTAGATTGTATGATATAAATTTGTATGATATAAATTTGATGATTAACTTAATACTGTACATTTGCAACATAAATAAAATTAAAAATACATTATAGTTTCCATTATTGATTGTCTCACATTATAATAATCATAAAAATCTACCTAGGTAGACGAATATCAACTTGGTAACAACTCTTTATTAGTCGATTTGTAAAAGCTGCCTCCCTTATAAATAAATGGTTCATATGACACTCGTATTTATCACATGAAATGGAAACACGAGAAGAATGATCAGAATTTGCCCAAAACAATATACCATGCAAAAAATGTGATAATCTGCGTGTAATTTTCAGTAAGCTTGTCGCTGCATCAGTATAACAAAAAACTAATATTATTATATGATATAAATTTGATCACTAACTCATTAATTTAATACTGTACATTTGCCTCATAAATGTAATGCAAACAAGTTTAGCGTTTACATCATTGATTGTCTCACGTCATGATAACTATGGAAGTCTACCTTGGCGCTATCGAGAATTCGCGTGCGAATCGCGCGGTACTTCTCTCATCGGCTCGAAATTAAGGATATCACGGCTGCCAGAATTGATACGCGACGCCGGAAACTCCTCGGTAATTTATAACGTGCCTGTGTATCGTGTCTAGCTATTTTAATTTTCTCGATCTCATCCCGTGCTTCCGCTCTCGCGGCATCTCGGGCACAATCGAGTCCGTCGGGTTCGCGTATCGCGGTGTACTCTGCTCTCGCTCGAAAATCATGCCCGTCACTTTTTGCGCGGCCAACTACTCGCCAGTCATTAGCCACGCCGGCAGATCTATCATTATTGCGTACGAGCGGCTATCTGTAATTGGCGAATGTAAACACAGAGTGTAACCCCGCCGCTGCGTGTGTGTCGGTGCGTGGATGCGCGTGTGCGTGCGCGCGGCTTGCGTGCCGGTGACCATACAGCCCGCACCAAACCCATTCACGATTTACGCCAGGCAAAACGCGCGTGTGATTTTTCGTGATTTACACCGAGCCGATAGCGCCTTTCCGCCACCCCATTATTTCGAGCGCCGAATTAATCCGACGTGTCACGGAGCTCGCGTCGCTCGGGGACCGATAAAGATGTTTCACGACAGTGAGTACTTGACCAAACAACTTCAAGAGGAGACTTATCAATGCCACAATGTACGTTTCTACTTAGCACATTAAGAAATCTGCCGATACGTTTCGCTGATGAAAACACTTCCTACTCGACTCCTCGAGATTTCCTTTTTATCACTGAGAGCAAAAGCGACTGTCCTGTATAATAATGAGATAATCTTTCTCTTTCCCTCCCTCTCCCTCGCAAATTCCATTAATATTCAATCCGCGCAAGGATAACTCGTCCTTGAAGGGGTCCGGTAAATGCGGCGGGACAGATTGGCCGGTGATCCATAGCTCGTGACGGTTTTACGCAATACAGCGGCTCGCGATAAATCATCGCCGGTCATGATAGCGAGACGACCCTCTATCGTAGCGTCAATGGGGAGAGTTACTTAGTGGCGAGACCGGCTTATCGGGCGAGCCTTACCTGAATACGAATAGCCTCGTCGTCGTCGTCGTCGTCGTCGTCGTCGTCGTCGTTGTTGTCGTCGTCACGGTCGTCTTCGCCGTGTGGTTATATCCCTCGGCTATGTCCTCGCCGGGCGTTGAAGTCTCTGAACGCGCGCTTACTCACTCAACACCTCCGTCGCGGCGACTCACTTCACCGTTCGGGTGGCACCGTTCACAGCGCTTGTCTGTCATAACCCGGCACAGGTCCCGCACGTGTAAATATCGTCACAGCACCACCTGACACCTCGGCGGACCTCGATTCACCCCCGGATCGTTCTCGCCTTCTCCCTCACTCTCGGCGTGATCTTCAGACGGGGATGATCCTGTGAGCTTGAGCGCGCCGACGGAATATCATCGTCGCCGACGGTACCGCGACGTCGTAGCTCGATGCAGCCGGCCGACGTGGTCAATCACCGTGGATCAGGTGTCCATTAAGAATGCCCGGCTCGTTGGTCACCGTTGCCGTGCGAAACCTTCCGGATCGTTGGTCCCGCTGATCGCGTGGCTGGACGCGTGGTGTTCGCGCGGGTGGGGGAGGCGATGTGTCGTCGGGTGAGAGAGACCGCGGGTCCCCGATGGATGTCGCCGACGATGACGGGGTGACGCGATCGGCGATCGTTCAGTCGCGATCGGTCGTGGTGTTCACGCGGGAACGCGCGGTACTCTCTCGCCGAGATCGAACGGATGATACGGCCGGAATGGAAACGTCACTTCCTCGCGGACCCGTCCTGATCGGATCGAAGTACCTCGGCGAGAGAGGGAGAGAGAAAAAGTCCGAGCGGTCTACCTCGAGTGCTCCATCGCCGGGACGAAAGGTCTCTCGAGAGAGAGGCAGGTTCCGTTTCGGGACTCTAGGAGACTCCGGGAGAGAGTATCATCCCCTTTCTATGTGACGCGAATCCGACGTCTACGTTGTTCCGGAGCACACCGAGTTGCTCGATTAGGCCGAGCCAGGTCTATCGACGTACGAGCGAGGTCGTGACTCGATCACAGGCAAGTGACAAAAACATCGGACCCCGCGAGAGTGACGATGGCGTCGCGACGCGGGACAAGCTCGTGACTCGTCGAGGACACCGAGACGACAGGACACCTTCGGGCAGGAGAAAACGCCCCCGCGCCAGCAGTCCGAAATTTCGTCGCGATGGACACGCGTGGCGATGCGACGCGAGACGCGCCGATGCGTGATGCGAACGCGTCGGAGGGCGAAAAGCCGGGGGCCTTGCGTACGAAGAGGCCCGCGCGCGCGTTACGTCGTACCGGTCCCCTAACGTCGTCGTGTCTACGTTCGTCGTTCTACCTCGTGGAGCGTGCAGCAGGAGGCGTGCTGTCCCGGACTGGACTAGCCTGGGCCCCTGGAGTAGAGAGGGCCGGTCGCGCTTCACCTCCGCTTCGCCGGCCTCCCTCCACCGAGACTGCGTCGCTTTAGGTGCCCCTCTCTCTTTCTCTCTCTCTTCCTCGGTCTCGCGCGGGGCCCTCTCCCTCTCTCACCTGGGGCCTTCGTGTGCCGCGGCGTACCGCCGCGGCTTACCTGTCTCTCCCTCTCCCTTTTGCCGCGACCTCTCGCGATATCAGTAGACTGAGAGCACGCGAGAGAGAGAGAGAGAGAGAGAGAGAGAGAAAGAGAGACAAACGGACAGAGGAAGAGAGAGAGGAGAGAGAGAGAGATCAGGAGGCGCGTTTAGCGCGGGGGGAAACAGAAGGTAGACAGAGAGAGGGACGGAGAAAGAGAGAGAGGCACGATGAAAAAGAGACCCCTCTCTTTTCCCTTTCCCAGTCCTCCGCCGCGAGTTCGTAGCACGACGCCCCCACCGAGATATGACGAGAGGATCCTCCGCGTCCTGATGACTTTCGGAGGCCGATGGGGCTTGCCGAAAGTGATTCGCGCGTCGCGTTTGTTGGTATTTTAATAACACGGCACCGATGTTACGGCAATAAAGATCGTCCGATCGTGCGTTTGAAGATGCACGTTACGTTCACATTCTTCGAACATATTACTGAACGAGTAAGAAAGAATTAAGTAAATCGAAAAATCGATTTCTGCTTGTCACAACACGGCTACGTTGATGCAGTTGATGTATCAAAGTAACTGGCAATGGACACCATCGACATGACCAGAGCGACTTAGACCCGCACCTATCCTATTCTCTTAGATTTCTCATGAGAAGAAACGTGGTAATATTCATTTTTCTATATAGACCTTAATTTGTCTATCAGAAATAGAAAAAACGGTCTCTTGTAACTTATACTGAGCAAATGAAAAATCTTGTCGAGTAAATCCAGAATATATGTATTTTTTATATCTGTGGTTTATAGTTAGTTTATAGTTCATGAGATAGAGGGCGTCACAGATTCATTATTTATATGTTTCGAGTCGTATACGGAGAAAAAGATTTGTCTAAATTCAGATTTTTGGTAAAATATAAGCCAACCAGAAATTTGAGAAGATTTCTGGTTAACTTGAATGAAATTCTGGTAACATCGACCGGAATTTTCGTTCGTATTTCATCAGAAATTGGTTAATCCAAATTTTTTTCCTTGCATCAACCATACACTTTTCCATCATACAAAGGTAGCTAGAACGATGCGCTTGTGCTGCTCACAACTAAATATTTCTTCTGTTGTACGTATCTTTTTTCCCCGTATGAAGATACCGGGCCGCGGTTATACTCATTACGATATTGCAAACGCCGTGACAAATTAAAAGCGTGCCGTTAAAGATGCCGATTTCTCGGAGTTGCACTTTAAGGCGAGAATCATGCGCACACACGCCACATACTAGAAAGGATAAAATGGCCATTTAAAGTCGTATTCACAATGCGAATCGACGTACTTAATGTGCCATGTTTCCTCGGGTTCTAACAGCCGTCGGAACACTTGTAACGTTAGAGCGGCTTGAACATCGAGGTCAATGATGGGTGAAATTAAAACATCGATCACTCCTAGAAGATACGATAATTCAGAAATATCGACCTACTTATCAAATACTATCTACCAAGAAATATAATCAGAGATAATTAGACCCCCTCTCTCTCTCTCTCTCTCTCTCTCTCTCTCTCTCTTTCTCTAGAGGACTTTGCCGCGTTGCTGAGCAATATTAATCGGCAAGAGGAATAAAGCTTGGCGAAAAAAGCCGACGATTACTATCCGCGTACAAAATCTATCTGCTCGTCTCTTAAGTACTGTCATTAGCTACGAACCCGGGGTTCATTGTCAACGAATGGCATCAAACGAAGGCGTCCAAGTGGCCGTCGATGCTCGCGGACAGCTCTTTGTGGCGAAAATGATGCCAACCGTGGGTTAGGTCGGAAGCGGTGATGGGACTCCGTAAATATGTCGCGGGTAAATAAGTCACAGTTGCAATGATCGTTCGAGGAGAAAGCGCCGCGAAGAAAGGCAGGGCGCAGCCCTTCGCAGCGAGGGTTTAAACGGACAGAAAAGCGAAGCGTCTCTCGACACGTGGTATCGCGACGCGAAGATCTACGTAGGTGAAACTCGCGCCTCTGATCTCATCCGTGGCGCGCTAATGTTCCCGGTGTGTGCGTCGGTATGCGTGGCCGACACGACAGAACGGAAGGCGGCTTAATGATCGCCCGTTTAATTACGGCGCAGCAAACAGGCCGGCAATCAAATCCCGCCGAAAAAGTCCGTCGCGGCGATCGCGGGATCCACCAAGTTCACACCGTCACCGTTATGGGCGGAACCGAGAGAGCCGGAACCACGCTTCCTGCACAGAACAAAACTTTCCTCCCGCCCGGTCGCCGTCGGCTAAATTGAACTTTGGACAAAGTTGCTGCATACGCCGCACTCATGTTATACCGGGACCGGGACTGCGAATCAACGCGCATTACTCTCTCGCTCTCTGTCTATCTGTCTTTCCCTCTACCTGTCATCGGGACCGCGCGCGCGTGGGCGTGTGAAAACCGGAAGCGCGCTAAATTCGTGCGCGAGCCGACCCCCGACGTAACAGCTACAAGTCGACGTGAAGATCCGTCGATCGCGGAAACGCGATATCTCCGGGGCGTGTATCGTAAATAATTCGTTCCGCGGTAACGCATCAATATATTTCGTGTAACCTGTGTCGGATATATATTGACTTATTTGTTTATTTATATTTGCGGGAAGGCGTAACCTTTTTTGCACAGTAACGCACAGTAACAGTAAAGAAATGGGTGATCCGATGGGAAATCATAGAGTTATGTTTGGCCCCAACCATATCTCTGCTATGCTCTACTATGAAAATGGTAATACAAGGTTATTATTACTAACATTATAGTACGCAGAGAGAATATTACAGGTTTTTTTTTATATAAGTTCTTCTCAATTTTACTATGTTTCTGATAGTCCATGAATACAGACTGTCAGCAAAGTTTATCTTGCTAAGAAATATAGTAAATTCCGCTAAAAACATAGCTTCCGTTAAAAATATAGCAAGTTTTTTAATGGCAATATAAGTAGCACACATGAGAATAAGTTATTGCAGAATATCGATCTATTCTATGAAATTACTTAGTTATAAAGTTCTACAGTAATTTCTACTATAAAATTCTTCGTGTAAAATTTATTTAAAAAAAATTTTTGGTCACGATTTACAATACTTAGTTTGCTGTATAATTACAGTTACAAATACCAAGTATTTTTTTCCAATGTGCATAACATTTTGCCTGCGTTTTAACGACTCCAATCCTGTTAGCAAAAATTTTTTTCAATGCGGATAATGAAGGACGAAAGAGGAAGGGGAGGGGGGAAGTCTCGTTAGACGGAGTGTAACATACATATATTATAGTAACGGGCATGTTTCGCAAGCGAGTGTATTTTTAACCAAAGACTCACGTGAAAATGTCGAGTAAATTCGCGCCTTCACACATCGCAATTAGACGCAATTCGCGCCGTTCTAAAGAGGCCGCCGTAATGAAGCGCGCCGGGACCGAGTCACACACGTGCGCAACCTGTCGCGAACTGCCTCAACGGTCGCGCCATAAAAAGCAACGCGCAACACCTCACTGCATCCGCTCTACCCGAATAGTTATGCACCCCTTTTCGCGCACCGCGCCCGCCGTCTGCAACGCGCTTCTAATGCCCGCGTGTTCTACCCGGGCGTTCGTTGCACTTGCTGAAACAGCTGTGGCACCTGTGCCACCGTCGCCGCCACCGCCGAACGCTAGTAAGGTGCAACGTTTCCCCCCGCGCGCACCCTTGCACCACCTCGTCAGAGGTGCCCCAGCATTCGAGTTACCCCGCCGAGTAATATCCGCCGCGCTAGATCGCTCAGCTTGGGCAATATTAACGATGTCTCGATGCTGTTATACCTGCTCGCTCGCCTCCTTTCCTCTTTTCGCGACATTTGCCGGCCGGCCGACGGCGAACGCGTGAGTGGCATGACTCCAAAGTCTGTCTCATATTTACGTTTGCAAACACGTGTAACAGAGGGAGAGAGAGAGAGAGAGAGAGAGAGAGAGAGAGAGAGATACACTGAGAGAAGAATTTAGTAAATATTATCAAAATTTGGTTACTATTACTAAATGGTAGACGTAAATATAGCGGGCCAAAGCTATGGCAATACTTATTAATTAATTTAGTTCTGTAAAATAAATTATTTATTTGACAGAAGTAAAATTTATTTGCTTCCAGAATATATTTGGTAAATAAAACTTATTGAATAGTTGAGCAAAATAAGCGATTTTGTAGTAGTTACAAAATTTTTGGTAGGTTCAACCAACCATCTGTAATAATAGATATTGAAACGATGTAATAGCTGCAAATGAATAAATTTTTTCGTTGTGCTGCAACAAAACATACTTATACAGGTAACAAAATAGAACTCGTACCTACTGAATTTTTTATTATATGGGATATAACAATTTCATAACAATTATCAAATATCTGCTCATAACTTTAATATATTTCATATTAAATATTTAACATTAAGTAACTATTACTAAATTATTTGATGTTATTGTGAATGCAATTACGTCATACTCCCGATCTATTAAATATTTGGTAACTATTATCATATTTAGTATTAGTTACTAAGGATTCAATGAATTTCTGTAACTAAACGCAGTTTGTTATAGTTACCAGTCTTTTCTCTCAGTGTAACGAGAATTTTACTCAACATTTTTGTTATAGTAAGTATTCGCGTTATCCACATGAGAAAAATATAGTTTTTTTCTTTCTTATACATTCTTTTCAATGTTACTGTATGCTCCTGCTAGCGCAGGAACAGGCTGTCTCATTAAGGTCTGTCCTGCTATGGCACATAGAATTTCTGTTTTGAATTTTGCTGGTAAATTTTTTAATAGCACATTTCATTTCCTAATATAA